AAATCATTGTGCCAGCCTGGACTCGGAGCAGCAATCAAGCCCAAAGTATCTCAGCTCCTGCCCCAATCCCCCCTGCGTTGGAGCTTTTTGCTAGCCACCTCTGCCAGGGATCCCGCTAGCAGTAGGTCTGCCTGCTTACACATTCAGTGGGTGGAACAGGGAACTCTGCACCAACAGGGACACTGGCATCTCTATAGGCTGAGACCACCAGGGCTGGATGGAAGGACACACCTACCCAATCCACACACACACACACACACACACACACACACACACACAGCATGGCGCAAAGGGGCTTTTGGATTGCAGCCTATGTTTAGGGACTGAGAAGAGCCATTAAGGAAAAGTAAACATATCTTGTGTTACTAGTGAAAGAACCCACTAGCTTGTTTCCTCTCAGTCTGTCTGTCTAACCACTTTCTAAATTCTTAATTTTTCTTAACTTGGCCATTTCTCTTCTAGACTTTTCTTCTAGGCCATAGCTGAGGGCCAAAACTTCTTGAGGCCTGAAATTTCAGTCCTTTGAAAGGAAATATCCCTCAGGCATTAGGAATGGCAGAGAAACTGCTACAAAGTCAAGAGTTTTTAGCTGGATCAGAAGCATCTTAGGGGTTGAAGGTATCCGTGCCATGGCTTGGAGGCATCTGGTGCAGAAGTGTTTTTGTTGAAGTCTGTCTGCCTCCACTATGCTCTGCTTATGTATTTATAAACGAACATTGCATGGACATTGAACCCTTCAATCCTGCACTTAATACAGGAGCCTGATGAGTTCTCACTTCTGGGGCAGTGGAGAGCATAACACGGTGAAGGAAGTTACCAATACAAACATAAGAGGAATAAAGATTAGAATACTTCAATATTACCATCTTTATGCAGCACAGAAAAATGGCAGGATGTGGCAGAGACGAAGCATGTATCCCCTGGGGGCAGGGAGGTAGGAATTAATGCAAGCCTTGACAAGCCACCAGGGCAGGTGAGACAGGAGGTGGGACCATGAGGTGTGCAGATGTTCCAGGATATGAGGTGCTGGTAGGTGGTCTTAGAACTATTGTTTGTTTGCACCATAAAAGTCAGGCTGGCCTTAAGTAGTTTGGAGCTCTAGGCATGGGGGTTAATTTTCCATCCAGCAGAGAGATACCAGCTTTAAGATGCTGATTGGAGAGGCGCTTTGAGGAAAAGACCAGCCAGAACTGTAAATAATTAGGGATGTCAGATTCAAATGGTGCAATGAAACAAAAAGCAGTCAGAAAGCATAATTCATTTAACCTCTTAAAAGATCTGCATCTATTAATATTTCAATTTGTGATCTCAGGGCAAAGCAGTTGCTATATTACCAATGACAAGGGGGCTCGTGCAAAATATTGTTATTTTTCTTTATGCACATTTTCCAGAAGAACAGATTGAGGACACAGGGTCAGTTAAGTAGACCTGAGGTGGCAGAACAGGGCTGAATGGAAGCACAACATATGGGGGAAAGTGGTTCCCTGTTGCTAATGCGCACAGGAGTGTTAAACTGCCAAACGAAGGTGAGAATATATTCAGTAGGGTAAGGAAAAGCAAACAAAAGTGCTACATGGAAAATGGATAATGTTCCATTTTAGAGGAGCTAGAGAAGAGTACATTTTTAAAGAGTCACAACCACCTCATAGGTAATTTAATTTTATTGCATTTTATAATGCCATTGTCATACAGATTACATGCAGCTAGATCTACTGTACAAGGGTTTACCGTCTGCCAGAGCAGACACACAGAAGTCCAGAGTACAAATACACAGCAATGCTATTTCCTTTATACATGGTGGAAATATGGCAGTGTGATGCAGTAGGAGGAGGATGGATCAAAGGTTTACAGACATCCTTCCCCCTCCCCAGTAACCTTTCCCTTCACACTGACTTGCCACCTGCTCAAAGGATGATCACATCAAACCAACAAATGTGAGGAAGGAAAAACCCACAATATTAAAGGTCACTGCATGTCTTGCCCCTTTCTTGCACCTTCCTGGGTACCAGGAGAAGGAAAAGACAACAGAGTGCTGACATGCCACAGTTCCCTACCCTCCCACTGTATGTTGGGTACTAGGATGAGGGAGAACAGATCCACTTGCAATAGAGAAGATCTAAGAAGGAGGAGCCCCTGGAGGCAAAATTAAATATTACAAATTAGCAATCAGGTCATTTCAGGAGACATGTTAACCTCCCCATTTCCATTCAATGAGATCAGTGACCCCTTGGCTCAAGCCAAACTGCTAAGCTGATACGGTTTGAAAGTCACTAGTCATTGTTTCCTGGGTGATTTTTCTGCCACCTGAGATTCAGTGAGAGATTTGGAAGACAAGAATGCCAAGTGGTGAAAAGCTCAGAGAAGCCGAGCCTCAACTCTTTGGGAAGGTTAACAGGAAAGCTGCTCCGAATAGCAAACGGTTAAAGTGAACAACAGGCCAATGGGGCACCAGTATTTCATTCCTACAGAAGAACAGCCCCATTGCAATGAGCAATAAGAAGACTCCCATTTGACAAATCCTTCAGCACTTTGGAATAGTCTAAATTTGAAGAAGGAAAAAACTAAAACAAAACCTCTGCAAATTATGCAGAGTGGCCACATTTATGTGGAGTCGAACACTTGAAAATCTACAGAATGGATAAACAGAACAGGCTCTTGTGGGTTTTTCTGAGTGGGGTTTTTGTATCTCTCCCCTTGAAATATACCTATTAAAGATTATGTAAACATACAAAACTGAAACACACACACCTTTGGTTTAATAAAATGTGTTTTGCTTCTGTTCTTACTTCTCCCAACTTTGAGGAAGTGAGAAGGAAAGGGAAATGATTACATCAGTATCCCAATTTCTTTTAAGCAACGGGTTCTCTCTTCCCACCCTCACCATTTCTACAACCTAATTTTCAGAAAGAAAACAAACCAAAGACAGCATAAAGAACTGGAACAGCATCCAAGTCAAGTCAAAGGGAGATACAAGAATGGCTTCCTAAATTCCAGAATAAGGGGGGAAAAACCTTCCTAAAATATTCCCTGCATTAGTTTCATCACAGGATAGTTAAATAGACAACAATAAACTAATTTTAGTAGGTTTTTAACCAGCATATATATCAATATATACAGATACTATCCTGCCACAAGTTGGGTTTGGTCTTTCCCACACTACCCCTTTAAAAGCCATTTTGAGGTAACAACAAAAACCATAAAAACACACAAGTACTATACGTAGTTTGAATGAAACAGAGTTTTGTGAAAAGTTATTTGTGCAAAAAACAGATGTACCTAATGCAGTTAAACTTGGGGAAAGTTAAGTGCCAAGATATTTTCAGCTTAAGAAAAGAGAACCCTCCAAGGCTCATGCCAGCCATACTTACTTTTCATGAACAGGGGATGAGGAATAAAGGACACTGAACAAAGTCACAAGAGCTTAAAGCCACAAAAAGAAACTCTGTGGTGGTAAACTATTCTTCCAAAATGACTTATGGAACAACAGTAAATGGGCACATTTGATGAAGTGAAAGAAACTGCATGGATGCCTTAACTGTTAAGAGAAGATCTCATAGATTCATTGTCTGTTGGTACATATACTGCATTTACATATGGGTGCTGATGTTTTTAATATGGCATTACGGGAATTATTCAATTTTGAGCAGAAGACCAAAAAAAAAAATCAAAAAAAAAAAAAATCAGATGTTTAACCTGCTGCCAGAAAACTATCGACTAGAGGCCCTTTCCCAGTCTGTATAAAGAGCCTCCACTTTTTGCAAGCAACAGCGGAATAGAAAGAACACCTTACAGATGAAATCGCAGCATTGGAATACGTTTTGTACAATTCTGGGCAGAGAATTCAGTCAGTCATCATTACTCTTGATTTTGCTGGGAAGGCCAGAAGGAACAATATGGATTTCCCAAGCTTATTTTAAACACATTTATATTAATCTAAGACAAATAATATCAACAGTATTTGGATTTGCTCTTTTTCTCTAGGTACGCTTGACCATTAACTTTTTCTGAATTTACACCAGTGTAACGAAACACACTGACTTCAATAACAAGGGCTGCGCAGATCTGACCATTTGCCAAGCAGTTGCTTACATCCTAACAACTATGCTCATTGTTGTCCATCACTTCTAAAGAGTTGGTGTTGCCAGGCTGGAACCCTTTTCAAAGGAATTCTCACAGAAAGGTAAACATTAGAGGAATGGGGAAATCCCCCTGTAACCCAGGAAAACACAATAAGAAGACACTCAAAGCCATGACCTGGACACAAGAAAGGATCCTGGTCAGGTAGCTTGAGTCAGATTTAAATGAAAGGCAGCATCTAAAGAAAATTATGCCAACTGAAGCCATAGCAGTTCAATCAAGCAGTTCAAAAAACAGGAGCAAGTTTCACACTTCAAGCTGTTGGAGGGCAAACAGACCACAAATTGAATAGCTGTAGTGAACAGCATGGATTCAGTGATACTAAACTATAGTCTTTCTTCAGTGTCCTGTTATTAATCAAGCACCTGTAAAGATTCTTAAAGTTGTGCCTAGAAAGAGCAGGGATAGGGCAGATCCTGATCAGTTGCCCAGTAAAGTTAGTGGGAATCCTGTTATTGATATGAATCAATTTAGGATTTGCTGTTTTGCAAGTAATAATCTTTTCAGCTTTATACACAGGCAAGCCCATGAGTCATGTGGAAACTCTATTATAATGGCACTCCTTTATGTGTATAAAAGATGAGGCAGAATCTTAAAGCAACCAAACATCAGAACCACTCTAGTTTTGTGGTACATTTCTTTCATTGGGACAGTGCATTACCACTGAAAATTAGAATGCTGTAGAAGCAATCAACGTGAAATTAATATCCTGGTTCAAATAGCTTTTGCTGGGGAAGTCAGAAACACAAGAAAAAATGAACCAAGCCAAGAGAGGATGGTTTTGACTTGAGCCATGGAAATGGAAACAATTGCAGGGCACAGAAGTTTGGAGGACTGAGAGAATGACACCCCAAACCTCCTCTTTAATTATCCAGCTCACATGCACACTGGCTCCCTTCAGGACCAGGGGTGGATTTGAAAATCCAAAGAGATTCAAAACTATGCCACTTGCCCAGTGACCAATATGCATACACCCCGCACACTGACAATTCTGATGCAAAATCCTGGTTGTAACATACAAAGCAGTGACGTTTGGACAGCACATCCAATGTTTTAAAGCTAGTGGGTTGCAACATAGCAGGGGGGCAGGGAGTGCCCTTCTGGCATTGGGGGGGGGTAGGAATCACTGTTTGAGAAACTAAATAAGATAATAACACAGATAAACACACACAAATTCCTTCCATAATTAGTAGTAATATAGTATAGTTCTCACAGGGATAAAGGAATCTGTGTCTGAGCTAGACTACTTCATGTGTCTGAATGCTCCTTCATTGGGGGGGGGGGATCTGTCCATATAGACAACCAGATGTCAAGGAGAACCTTTCTTTCCAACAACTAGTTTTCTATGCACATGGAAATACTGCATTCTCATGATCTCCTGTCCTACCTGCATTCTGAAGTGGTGCAACTCCAGACACAGATTTATTGCTGCAGCGAGAATTAAGACCCAAAGTTACCCTGTGGGATGCACACATTAATATTGTCACATCTAGGCAGGGAGGGGCTGTAACTGGCAGAAAAGGCTAGCAGCACAATACAGACTGGAGACGCTCCATTCTGGGTCAAAAGCCAATTTGTCTTACAAATTATGTATAAGCACGCCAGGGTCTCTAGAAAGGTTGCATCCTCTGTACCTATAAGATAGCAAAGGTTCCTGCCTCCTTTCACTGGAGTCATAGTAAGCACCCAATCAGGTATGGATTATGCTGTATGAGTGGGCAGTGTCCCACCAAGTTAATCAAGATTCTCAGTCAAGACTAGATTCTCTATGACAGTGCAAGCCATTGAGGTTGTTATTGCTGCTCCAGGTCCAGAACTTGGGGCCAGTTTTTATATTCATCAGAATCATGGTTAAGCTTTTCCTGGACTGCACCATGAGGATGTGGGTGGGTGGTGGCACTTGTTTGGCTTTCTAATGGAGGGGAAAATCCTGCACAGGGCAAACAACCACCTTTGCCTCCACCTGTGGCCCAAAGCATTGCAGTCCAGGAAGTTTTACCATTTGATTCTACCAAAAGTATAAACTGGTTGCCATATGCCCAGCACTGCAGCAACAAGTTCAGCCTTAGGTACTCCATCCCTTGCCTCCAGTTGGTTTGAGATAATGGGCATTTAATATATTAACTATGACCATCATGCTCCCTTTTCTCGGGCCCCTCCAATAAGTGAGTCAACTTGAACAAACCCAAACAGTGAGGCACGGGTTTAGATTTAAACAGAGACAGTTATATTTCTAAAGAGAACCTCTTCCCGCAAGTGAGGATGGTTACAGTTCAGATATTGGCAGTACAGCTCCAGGTAACACCACTTTAATACTGGCAGAACAACGCATATACTGGGCACCCCAGGACCAGCTGCAGGTGCCTAACACAAGTTATTGTACCAGGTAGGAGAAAAACAGACTGAGGTCAGTGAGGCAGAAAAGTAGCATCTTTGAAGAGTTCAAATTGATGGAACTTAGTAGGAATTGATGGGGAAAGAATACCAAGGGGTAAGATAAACAACACTGGGGTATAACCACTCAGCTCCAGAGTTGTTTTCAAAGCAATCTGACATACTACAGCAGTACATGGATCATGATGGAGAAAGACAAAGATCCAATAAATATCTTATTGCAAAGTTGATCTACACATTAAATAGAATAAGGTGGCAGAATTCCAGAAGGAATCATTTCAGACTACAGGAATCTTAAACAAACCCTCTGTTATGTAAAAATAATCATCCAGTTTATATTAAACTAGTACATCAGGGAGAAGACAGAGGGTATAATTCAATGCTGCGCTGTTGCAGATGTTCTGCCTTGACAGATGGAATGATGCACTATTCTGGGATTCTCCCAACCCAATTTTAGAGGCATGGGGAGAGCCAGGAAGCCGTTGCACAAGCTGATGGAGTTTGTTAGGTGAATCCCACCCTATGTGTTTAGTCACATTTCCTACATGCAATTTCCTACATGCAGGGAGTTAAAAAAAAGCACAAAACATTTTCAATGTATGGGAGCATTAAAAAGATGGCCACAACAGCCCCACCCCTGCAGTCTGAAATCATGCGGCCCAAAATTCTGCCATCTCACACTATGTGAATGTGTTAATTGACTCAATACCTTGAGCGGCTACAATGAATCTGCTGTGAGCTTTTCAAGACACATGCTACTCAGACAATGCCTTCAAGATCTGACAAGGCTCCCAATCATTTTGGATGATGAGGAAAGGGGTTAGGACAACAAAACTTTGGAAAGAACGACTGCTGAAAACAAAGAGTAGAATCCCAAACTGCACAAACAACCTCTGATAACAGCTGAAATGAAGGAAGCTATGATCTGAAAAGGGGAGCGAGGGAGACAGAAGCAGGTTCAAGAGAGACCCATGGAATGCAAACCCTCTCTAGGCTCAACGACGTACCCTTAGTAAAGCAAATGACTAACACAAAGCAGCAATCCATGATTCTGGTCTACCTTCATTAGAAGTGTACAAAACAGCACCTGTAAACTTTGGTTTAAATAATAACTTAAAATCAAAAGAAAGTGACAAAAGGGCTAAAGGGGTGCAGGATCTTTGTGAATTTCTTTTTGGCCTATGCCAGTTGGGATAAGTCAGAATAAAAGCACCAAACAAAAATTAAAACAAAAAGTGTTTTGGTTTATGCTTCTTGTCTAAGAAAGGTCTTTGGTCGACAGTTAAGCCAATTGTAAAGCATTCTGAAGAGGGCACTAGGGAGGCATTGAGATATGGTCCCAAGGAGGAAGTGAGGTGTGGTGTGTTTCTGCTCAAACTAAGGATGGGAACATTTTCCTCAAGCTGCTTCTGGAGTTGAGCTGGGCCCTGAGGGATGGGTCAAAAGGTTCTGAGGTATTTTCAGCTCTTGCAGTCCGTCTTGACTGTATTTGCAGGCTTTGCCAAGCCAGCCACTCACTGGCAATGGATAGTTTCTCTAGGAAGGTTATTTAAAGCTTCTTAAATTTGATTCACATCCCTTAAGCAAGATCACCTCCAGCTTACTGCAGCTTAAAGATGGCCCCTCTTTCTTCCAATAGGTATACAGTCCACTTCCCATCAAACCAGAGCAACTACCCTCAATTAATCTAGATAATAAACTCCAATTTTGCTCTGCTGGTTGGAGAAGTCAGGAAGCTGAGTAGGGGGAATTCATGCTCAGTGGAGCCCTGTAGTGTAGACTCCAGGAACCAAGCATTGGTTTTCTGAGTGAGGACTGTGGCATCTCTTTATTCTTGCAGCCATGATTCAGGAAGGAAGGAAAGAAAGAAAGAAGGAAGGAAGGGTGGGAAGCTTTTTATATATCTTTACTGCTTTTCATTTTTGTCTAGGTGTGATACAAATCTGGGTCACTTAAGCGCACTACTCAATATGAAGTTTCAGAAGGAAAGTGTTAGAGAGGAAGTATTGAGTGTTACATACATGGACAAATACAATCGCTTAGATAAGGCTTACATGGGGTAACATCAATCTCTGTTCTTTGTGACTTGAGGGGCAGGCTTCACTTCCATTAGCAAACTTATTTAGAAAAAATATCACAAGGGGTTGGGGAGACTGGCCAAGAAGGTGACTAGAGATCATAGTGCATGGTGTTCCAGAATTTAATAAAAAGATATATTGTTCTAGTGTAACCCACCAGAGATCCTTCTAGGAGGTAATTCCACTGGCAAAATTGAGCAAACAGACTCAAATGATTCTGCTAGGTGGTTTTAGAGCTGTTGCAGAGACTAATCAGAGAGCACCTTTTTTGAGAGAGAGAGAGAGAGAGAGAGAGAGAGAGAGAGAGAGAGAGAAAATGAACTTGATATTGGTTAAGAGGTCTGATCCCAATCACCATTCACCTACAAACGTAAGTTTGGGGTTGTATAGAACTAATGTGTCATTCTGTACACTTAAGAAGAGGTAGAGTGGAGGCAAAAAGGCACACGAAGTGCCAGCTGATTTACTGTAACCTTTTAAGCTAAGCTTGGGAATTAAGGAAAAGAAGAAGGAGGGATTGTTATCATGGTCTGCCAGCTGGTGAAAGGAGACTTTAAGGAAGAATTTTAACACCATTAAAATGCACTGTGCTGGAGATAAATGGAGCAATGGTGCATACAGGCTAAATAGACAACATTTTGAGTAGGTTAGCTCTCTTCCTTACCCAGACGGTATTACCCCTCACTTTACCAGATGGTGCTTTGAACAATCGGGGGGAAAATTACCTAATAATGAAACAAAGAATGGTGCAAAGGAATCCTAAGACAAGTTAATCATGACTATTTTGCTCCAATGTCTTTGGGGGCCTTAGACTGGGGAGGGCATCCAGCAAGCTAATCTACGCCATGTTAAAGCATGGCTATGGCAGCTTACTCTTCTAACATAAAGGGTTGCATACAGAACACAATTTCTTGCTGGTTTGGGAATCTTCCAGGTGTGGCCAAGTACCAGCTTGTTTCCCCCAAAAGGTGATGATGAAACTCCTGTATCTTGATTAAACCCTTAATGTGGGGGTCATCCACACTTGTGTTTGTCCTGTGATTTCTAGGCACAAAATAGGTATGGGTTCCACTGCTTTCCCTGGGAATACCCGCTGTTTACTGCTGAATCGGTAAATCCCATCTATTGGATTTTCTGTAGATAAGCATTTATTCCAATTCAGCACTAAACAGGTTTTCCTAGTGAAGGAAGCAGTGGGACAAAAAAAGAACCTCTTGGACCCATGACTGGAAATCACAGGGGAAAAGGAAGTGTGGATAAGCCCTAGGTTACACAGATTTACTGGTGGGAGCGTGGACACACATGAGCTTGCTTTAGAGAGAGACTCCTCAAAAGCCCAGTATCCAACTTTTTTGACCCACTGCATCCCTTGTCCCACAATGGCCAAGACAATTTTTTGGTCACCAAGAGGGACCTTTTCGGTTGCCCTCTCATTGAAGTAGAGGGAGAGGAGCCTTTGGAAACCATTATTTTTTTCTGCTGGGAAGAGCTCTTGGAATATCCTCTTGCCTCTCCGTCCTGAAATTCTAATTTGAGGCATCAGACAATGAGTTAACATAAAATAAAAAGGCTGTGGGAAGGGTTTTTGGTTAACACTGTTTGTTCACCTGAAAGATGTACTAGATCCTACTGTAATGTTTTGGAAACTTTTGTTCCCCCTCCAAAATAGTTGGCATCTAGGAACTAATTGCTAGCATACCAATTGTGTGGTTGGATATATTTCCACTAGACAAGCTAATGTCTAGAAGGAAATGAGTGCTTCATCATAGCGTTGCTGTGTTTGGTCACAAAGGAAAAAGTTTGTTGACCTTACATTTATATTGCTTTGAGTTTTGCATGGTCAACCGGCTCTTGGTTTTCTACAGCCACATACATTGGCCTGCCCCCACTTCCCCCTCCCCCCACCACAAGTGCTTCAGATTTTGCTGGCTTTGCTAAGTCAGCTCCACTCGCATATACTTGGCCTTCCCATTTACCCACCTCTTCATTCCCACATGAGCAACCAAGAGTCATGCTTTCTGGCCTTATCCCAGCATGGGTGAAAACGGAAGGGACAGAATGGAAGCTGGGAGGAGCAAGCAAACGGTTTGTCTTGCAGAAGTTAAAGTCTTTCCCTGAATTCAGTCTCATGCTGGGCCCCAGCAGCTTGCTGTCCAATCACCTGGCTGTTGGCTTCCGGTAAAATTTTCACAGTATGTGATGGCGCGGAATGGATATTCATCCCTGGGTTTTGTGGTGAATAAAGCTTTGTGGACTGAAGTCTGGCTGTCAAGCATGACTGGTAAAAAGAAGGCTACTTCTTGAACTTGCAGGGGCACAAACACAGGTTGGAGAAAGAATAACCGAGTGGTTTTATGTGTGGCAGCGAGAGACCCTTTGGCTGTTTGTTGACCTACAGTGTATTCCTTATACCCAGCTCGGTTTTTTTCCATTTCTCTCTCATTCAGGAAATGAGCAGAAGCTGGGACAACACCAGGGCCACTGTAGGGTTCTAGTTTCAAACTGCTGTTCCAGTACGTTGAAATGGTGCTAGGGTGTGTGTGAGTTGTGTATGCATATATGCTAAGTGTGTGCGCGTGAAAAACATTCCTCCTAGTGCAAAGTTCTCAGTGGGATAAACTGGCAGGTTACTGGAAATGCTTTCCATGGGAAAGTGGGGGACATTCACAGAAGCCCATGGCTTGGATGCTGCCCCCTGCTGGACTGGATGCTTCCAAAATCTTGATTTGTGGAAACAATATGGCATATGAGCTGAAAATGACAAAACACAGAGCAGACAATACGAGACACCTTCTTTTTATCCCCATGAGAATGGGGTGATGGAGCAGGGGAAGGCAACAAAGAAGTCTTCGGACAGAACCAACCTACCATCCTCGTTTATCAGTTATAAAATAATAAAAAAGTTAAAGAAAAAGCTCAACTCTGGTTTTTGTTTCTTTGCACATCCCCCTCTGTGAATGTCTGTTAAGAGTCACTGGGATGTAAGGAAAGGAAAGAAGTGTGTGCCTTCAGCAATGGGTAGACCCAAGGAAACCCTTTTGCTTTGCAGAAGTGCCTTAAACAAGATAACGCTGAAGGTCACCTTGAGGAGGTGGGAGCCATTGCTTTGTCTCTGGGGAAATGCTGGGCCTAGGTGAGGAGGGAGGGCCCTTAAGACAAGTCTTCCACTGGCAGCTCCTCCTCCATGTCTCTGTCATCAGGAATTGTCACATTCTGATTGGTTGTTGCCATGAGAGAAACAGGTCTGCTGTCATCTTCTGTCTCAGTTGGTTCTTCCTTCACATGGACTTGGTGGCTGCAGAATGGACAGTTGGAGATACCAAGCAGAATTAGAACAAAATTTTACTAGGGAAAATAAGATCATTCAGGAGATTACTAGCAAAAGAAGCAGGGCAGAAACTGAACATTTGGCTGAAAGGACATTAGTCCTGACTTTTTCAAGATCCCAAATATTCGAGTCTAAACATGTTTCCCTTGGGACAGAAATCTTTGCAGCATTTGGATCAATTACATAGGCTGGGGGCGTTTTATGGCAATTATAATGTTTAGTCTATACTCATTGCAATCTCCAGATTAACTTGATGTTAATGTTTCCCCAGATGAATTTTAATGCTGATTATTTATTTATTATTTGAATATTCATCGAAATATCATAGAGTGGTTTACAACATAAAAACACAAAATGCGTAATAAAAACAAACCAATAACCCTCCTCCCACAAACACATTTAAAAGGCCTGGTTATAGAGAAACGTTTCCACCTGGCACCTCAAGATAGGTAATGAAGGCGCCAGGCGAGCCTCCCTGGGGAGTGCATTCCACAAATGGGAAGCCACTGCAGAAAATGCCCATTCTTGTGTTGCCACCCTCCAGACCTCTCATGGGGGAGGCACATGAAGAAGGACCTCAGAGGATGATTACAGGGTCTGAAAGCCCTTGTCATTAACATCAATGATTTGACATTTGGACATTGAATGTGTGGCTCCTATACCCACCCATTCTAGATACAGTTGTACCTCCGCTTACGTATCCCTCCAGTTATGTAAACTTCGGGATACGTAAGCAGCAAACCCAGAAGTATATTTCCGGGTTTTTGCAGCGCTCTTCCGCCACACATGCATGCATAGAAGTGGTCTTTCCAGTTGTGAAAACCTTGGGATCTGGCCGGACCTCTGGGACGGATCCCGTCCGCAACCGGAGGTCCCACTGTAGTTTACTACAGGCATAGGCAAACTCGGCCCTCCAAATGTTTTGGGACTACAACTCCCATCATCCCTAGCTAACAGGACCAGTTGTCAGGGATGATGGGAGTTGTAGTCCCAAAACATCTGGAGGGCCGAGTTTGCCTATGCCTGGTTTACTACGTCTGAGTAAGGCAGTATTCACTCAGGCTCTTATCCAACAGTGATGCTGACATTATACCTTGCCAAAAGGTACTGTACAACTGTGTGTTGAAGGAGGGTTCTGATGTGAAAATGAAGTATTCTTTAACTGGAAATCTGGTGTAAATTCATTAGCATTCCCAAGAAGCCCGTTTTGAACCCCAGGGCTATCCCCCCCCCCACTGACACAAGCAGCAGGGCAAAACTCAAGTTGTACATGTATTTGCATCTTAAATGGGTCTTCCAAAAGTTGCACAGCCTGACCCACTAATGAAATGTAGAAGATGTCTGCATTTTAAAGACTACTGTATCTGTCATTGCACTTCTAGGGGAGCCCAAAATGCAGGAGCTACCAGAGCTCCAATTCATTTTTGCCTGGAAGGAAGCCTACAGGGGAAAAAAAGGCAAGTCTGAACTTACCTATACTGCTGTGGTGAAAGCCTGGGGCTATTGCTGCCATTACTGTTGACTTGTTCCACAGTGCTGCTCACATCATCATGGCCGACATGTAGCATGCCGCTAGTGGAGCTTGTGTTGATCATGGTGGGACTGTTCAGCAGAGGGAAGTTGCTCTCAGCCAGGGCTGCCTAAAAAGTCAAAATGTAAGTAATAAAAATAGCCTAGCACAATATCATTCCCTAAATAAAGACCAATTTAGTGGGTGTGTTGTGGGTGGGAATACAGTTAATGAATACTCAAAAAAAAATATTTAAAAAATGACAGGTTTACAAAACAACTCTAGTTCTATATAGGTAATGAGAAATAGAAATTACTTTCCCCAAGTACTTAAAGTGCATCTGGCTATGTTTTCTTCCACAACAGCTCAGTGTACAGAAATGGAAATGTATGTTCCACTTTTAAATCTCACAGCATGAAATGAATCAAGGAACAAAAGTAACAACAAAAGCAACTAAAATACTTTTGTAAAATCTCATTAATAAACTTTCCTGTGTTGGTTTTATTCCTTCAACAATCATGGGAATGAAACTCAGATGTCAGAAAGGTGAGCTTTTTGTGTGTGCTGAGGAAGCTCAGCGTACCCACTTCATTGGTTAAGAGAGTTCTGAAGTCTAATTTAGGGGACTTGTTAAATAGTGCTAGGTCACTGGTTCCTCAGCAGTAATCATCCTAATGATACCTGCACAATTATTCCATATCTGGACCCTCTCCCTATCCATAGACCTTCAACACCCTAGTCTACCAACCTACTGAGAGGGGAGGCTGAAAGGACAATTTCATTTAACATCCTGCAAGGCACTCAGCTGTGATGAGGGAGAACGAGGTTATTTAGATATTCTGCCATTTGCTATCCTTTACTATTGCCAAAACAATTGGTCTTTACATTGCCTAGGAGGACATTAGTGAGCTACTGCAACAAACAGTAAAGTGGGTTTCTGGCCCATTTGGAGTGAGGGCTCTCACATGACTGTGGAGAGTGGGATTGCTTAGGTTGGTCTGGTTCTCCAATACATCTTGTGGGAAAGGAGCACTGGCTATCATGTGATAAGAGAAACAGAAAAACTAAAACAAAAACCACCTTTTATGCATTTGATTTCTATATTTTATTTTATTTCTATACTCACATTGCTATGAGGAACCAGTGGAGTGGGAGCTTGCTTTGTTGGACATGAACTGTGAACACAGCACTCTCTCAACAAGGGATGGCTTTCTCTAATGGGAGTAATATCACCTATAAAACTTGTTCATTGGTGGGTCATACCTGGTAGCTGGCATTAAGTGCTCCATAACTAAGGCCAGAAATCATGTTTTTGACTAAAGTTGGACTCCTGTAAACAAAAGAAGCAGCTGTTAGCATTCTTATCTAAGCACAAGATGCAAAAATAGACTCACTATGGAAGAGCAGCTGCAATAGTTGCTGCCAGTGTTAAGAACCTAAGAGTCCCGCTGGATCAGACCAAAGACTGCTCTAGTCCAGCATCCTGTTCTCACAGTAGCCAATCAGATGCCTATGGGATGCCTGCAAGCATTACCTGAGTGCAAAAGTGTTTTCTTTGCTTGTGATTCTTAGCAGCTGCCATTCAGAGGCATACTGCCCTCAAAAGTGGAGCAGAACACAGTTCTCGTGGCCAGTAATCACTGACAGGTTTATCCTCCATAAATTTCTCTAATCCTCCTTTAAAGCCATCTGTGCTGGAGGCCATCACTACATCTTATGGGGAAATGATAATGGTGGTTCTTTCTTCAGTGTCTGAAAATATGCCCTACTGTGGCTGGAAGATGGTAACCAGTCCCATGTTATTCCCCCTCCATCTACTACAATCTAAATATTTAGATGAGGAGTGACTAACCAGTAATCCTCAAGAGGTTACAGGACTATAATCTTATCTTCCCTGACCATTGGCCATACTAGCTAGGACTGATGGGAGTTAAGAATACAGCATTTGGAAGAGCACAGGTTAGCCACCCCTATCAACTGTGTCCTAGGCTCTGCTGTAGTCTGTGCTGTTTCATTTTAGACATGTCTTGAACAAACATTGCAACAGTTGTCAGATATTTTTAATCTGAAGGGCTAGGGGTTTCTTTTAATCTATTCTCTCCCCCATTTCTTGTTTGTGTACATAAATACACTAACAGGTTTTCTATGGTTACAACAGCTAATACCACAAATGGAATACCACCAGTGGTGCCCTGTTTGTTGCCTGCGCAGCTTCCACTAGTGGTAAGTGAATGTTTTTGGCTGTGGAAATATGCTCCTATGTGCATGCAATGCTACTGCTACATACTGCTA